TGAAGGAAATTAAGGTAAATAACACTTTATATTCGGTTGCATACCCTTTACTTGCAATAACTTAACCAAGCCTGCCTCATCAAATAGTTGGGTTCTTCCTTTGTGATGATTTTGTAGGCTTCCAATAGGGGCAATAATTTCGAAGGGGACTGTATTTATATACTTGTTTTGTGACCGTTCAAGGTGCTTGGATGATTGTTGTGACCAATGAATGAAAGAGCTGTACGAGTATGTTTTCAGCCCTACATGCCACTCAGCAAACAATTTTTTAGTTTTTTTGCTCTTGGTTAAATGCTGTGCAGTGTGAAACTAAAACACATATTTCAATATTGAACCATACAGTCAACTTCCATCATTAGCCTTTCTATAGAATGTTCTTTAATAGGGTGGGTTCAATTCTTCTTGGCCTTAAAATGACTGATCTGTGCTAAGAACCCCTGGGTTACTCATGCTTTTACTCTCTCTTTCTCTCTCTCTCTCTCTCTCTCTCTCTCACATACACACACACACATATATATATACACACACACCTGCGCCGGTGCCACCCCCCTTCCCATCAGCCTGGGGGCAAAATCAACCCCCTTATTAAGATGGTAATGCCTGTGAACTGCGAGTTGGGGAAGGTGGGGGGAATCATCTTTCCCTCAGTCAACCAAGCTGATCATGTATTACATAGAAGCACAACCCAAATACAGCGTAGCCGCATAATAAACATGAAGAGTGGCCTCTAACCAGCCAACAGCCGACAGCGATGGAAGCAGACGCAAGCTGCTCGCAGGAATTTACATGCAAATAAACTCCAAAAAGCCAGGCAACTGTTTATCCTTTTTTTTTCCTTTTTTTTTTTTATTGCTGGGAAAATCACAACTAATATGATGTGACGTTGAAAATAATAGTCAGCTCAGATCCACAGTTCGTCTAATAATGTTTAATTTTACTCCTCATTTAACATGATTTCCTACTCACTGATTACAAGACATGATAGCATTAATTTGAGCAAGATGTACGATGTACCGTTGTGTTTCCCAGTTTGGAGAATGAATTGCAGCAAAAGAATCTGATCAGAAAAAAAAATAATAATAAGATGAAAAAAAAAAAAGAAAAATTGCTAAGTTTCTTATGACATCCATTTTAATGTCATGCATTATTGACTGTGGATTTTATTTTGTTTTTAAAGCAGCATGTTTCTTAATATATATTTATCCAGCCTGTGTCAACTGCTTATATCACATTTGTCTTCTGAAGCTTGCATAGAATACATACAAAACCAACAAGCAATAACACGCCCATAATGATAAGACATAAACAATACCTCAGAAGCGGCTTGCTATGTTATAACTGTCTCCGGCAGAGTTATTGGCACTATATAAAGCTTTATAGATGTAAATAGAGAGAAGAGTATGCACGGCTTCTCTACATGCTCTATGTATTATATTGAGTTAGCAAGCAAAGAGGCAACAAAAATGTCAGTGTGTAGTCAGTGAAAATCCATTCACGTGCATACATCTCACATATTACCAAAATATATAATCCTGGACATGCAAACTTGGAACCGTTATGAGTTAATGACCAATTTATCATTTCATTTTTGATTGAAGGATCATGCGTTATTTTAAACAGCATTTTGTGTGTCACTAATATTAACTGCACTTCTGATTCAAATTCCTGTCGTGTGAGGTCACTGAGTGGGATTCATCATATGATTAGTATGGTGGTGTGTAAGGCAGTGGCTTTGAACTCTCTCCATCTCTCTCTCTCAATCTTTCCCTCTCAAGCTCTCTCTCTCTCTGTGTCTGTCTTTCCTTCTCTCAAAGTTTGCTTCAGTGTGCTGGTTTGTCTCTCATTTGAGACTGTTGTCAGAGAGAGTACTGGCCTTGCCCTGAATAAGTCTGGGGATTGAATTACTTTCTCCCCTCCTCATAGAATGACCTCGTCAGTGAAGGGGTTAAGGGAGGAAGGAATGAGACCAAGGGGCCCCTGCTATACCACTGCAGGCCCCTTGCTCCTCTACAATACTCCCCTGAGGGCCCTTCAGCTGTGAGCTCCTTCTTTACTTTACTTTACATCACTAGTGCACCTATTACTCTTTCTCTGCACCATTTTCACTAAAATGACCCAGTGAAGCCACCGTAGCATCACTGCAGAAGTCTTGTCCCCATTAGGACTGATGGTTGGCCTGATTTCGGTCTCCCCAGTGTCCCTATAGTCAGAATTTGTGCATTTGTGATCTTGTGGCACTGTTTGAGTGTGTGTGTGTGTGTGTGTGTGTGTTTCCTTTTCTCCCTCACAGGCATTGTGTTTTTCAGCATTAACAATTCCACAATACAAAAAAAGATGAAAGTGCAAAAATATAGAAAAAAAACCCCAAAAAAAACCCCAAAGAGATAGAAACTAAGAAACTGTAGTGCGAAGATAGAGAATAGAAAACACTTTTTTTGGTCTGTGTGAGTTTCTCACAATGCCTGTGAAGCAGAAATTAATTACTGTAGCATCTCAAAACTTATCTCGCTCTTCCTCAGTGCCGTTGTACCACTATTGTTTTCTTTTAATACCTTGTGGAGTTCCACCTTCTCCCGTAAAAAATTCAGAACCCCCATTAGATTTGTCTGGAGTCAAGGTCAGAGCGCGTGCATGCTGATGACAGACAAATCTCTTTCATTTTTCATGAGTTGCTTAAAGGCACAGAGCGTTTTTCTGCCAAAGCACAGCCCGTATAATGTGCCATCAGTTTCTTCTTTTCGTCTTTTTTTCCCCCCTCCACCTTGCTCGTTATGTCAAGCTATACACGCACACAAAGACACATATTTGCTTTGAATTGATGTTCTGGACTTGCAAGGTGTATACAGCTCACAGAGCACAAGGGCAAGGGCACAGAAATATGAGCAGCGAGGGAGAGAAGAATGATTTGTGCTACTGAAGCAATTTACAGTCAACAACTGCTCTCTCTAGCTTATATTAATACATGTTGGTTACATTGTAATTTAAATATCTCACTGAAATTACTCTAAGCTTAATGTTATGATGTTTATGGCAAATTACGTCTTCCGGATTTCAGTAATGACGTCCACCAGGGATTCTGATTTAAACATTAACCCTAGTTAGATATCACACCTAATTGTTCTATGAACTGTAGTATTGCCACAAGCAGATATTTACTTCAAATCATCATCATCATCTCGGCAAAACTGTCAACTTGTCTCACCTGATCTCTACTGCTGCAGATATACGGATTGACAGATCTATACATCTATGTTAAAATGGAAAAAAAAGTGAAAACAAAGATAAATCATTATAGCAGTTTCCCTCAACGTTTTTACCCTCAATGTGAAATTACAATGTATAAAAATTAAGTGATAAAAAAAAAATCTGAAACATTTCAGTGAAAAATAAGAAAAAAAAAGCTACTGTTAAAACACTTAAGATGAAGAGGAATTTCATTTTTCAGCATGACAACGACTCAAAGCAAACATCCAAATGAACAAAGAAATGGCTTCACTGAAACAACATCAAGGCTTTGGTATGGCCCAGCCAGAGTCCGGTTGATCCAATCGAAGGTCTGTGGGGTGACATGGAGAGGGGCGGTGCACAGGAGATGAGTTTAAATGTTTTTACGATGAAGAATGGAAAACTATTGCTCAGTCAATATGTGCCAAACTGACTGACTCTTACACAAATCTAAAGGTGTTTCAACTACGCATCAGTTTAGTGGTGTGCACATTTATACAACCAGGTTATTGTACATTTATCTCCCTTTTGTTTTCCAAAATGATTCTTAATTTTTTTTCACTTTTAATTCATAGCTTGCAATTCCACAATAAAATGTTTTTTTTTGTTTTTACATCATAAAAATCTGCCATTTTAACAGGTGTAGACTTTGTGATGGATGGATGGATGGATGGATGGATGGCAAGCTTTGTCCATGTGTGTATGCTCATAGTTACTTTATTTAACTCAGCAGTCTATGTTTAATTCATTCAGTCTGGCCTGTATCCTAATTTATTGTTTTCATTTTTTTATTATTTTGTATTAATCGTTAGAACTTTGTAAACTGTCATCTCTGAATGGTCTGTGTATATATTTAACAGCTACAGTATTTGCAATTTACAGTATTACGGCTACCATACAAACTGTATCTATTACACTAGTGTATGTTTCAGTATGGCATGTAACTGCCGACTTCATCAAAGTGTGACGTTCACTGTGTGAGTACATCAGACTCTGCTAGCAACTTGATGGACTTTCCAGCTACAAACTTCAGTTTATTAAACTGTCTCATCACCAAGGTAAGGAAGTAAAAAAAAAAAAAAAAATTTCTGCATCATTTTGGTAACATTTATTTACAATGTCTTTAACTAGCAGAGTCAAAATCTGTCACAGGCAGAAATGTATTGGTATTCACTAACTTTTACTTTTTTGGGTCTTTGCTGAATTCAGCTGTGGCAACATCCTGTGTTTTTTGTTTGTTTGTTTGTTTTTTCTTACCCAGATCGCATATGCAGAATAGTAGCCGTATGAAATAATACGTTTATACACAGAGTACTTTGAAAGCAATACTTTAGTGTTCATTTGGCAGTAAACATATCAAGAAGAAAAATAAAATGCTGTGATAAACAAATTCCTTTTATACATCCAATTTACTTTGCAGTTTGTTTTGTCAAACTATACTAGAAACGCTATGGCAAATGTACTATTGTTGACATGGATTTATTTTGAGGCAATAAAGAGCATGATTAATCTCCTGAAAATATTACAGCTGTACAAACGGAGTGATGCACACCAGTCATTAGGAGTCAGTATTTCAGCAGTCAGCTACGGCGGCCTCTTAAACTTCATCAGACACACCTTTTACTCATTGTGGGAAATCTGTGAGAGGAGAACCTGTGTGGTTCAACACGCACACACACACACTTAAGATGAAAAAGCATTATATATCAATTCATTTAATAAAATCATCGATACACACCTTATAGATAATTTGTTGACTATTTAAATAGTCCATGGGCAGTGGTGGCTTGGCGGTTAAGGGTCTGGGGCACTTATCCCAGGGTCGGGGGTTCAATCCCCAGCACTGCCAAGCTGCCACTGTTGGACCCTTGAGCAATGCTCTTAACCCTCTCTGCTCCAGGGGCACTGTATCATGGCTGACCTTGCACTCTGACCCCAACTTCCTAACATGCTGGGGTATGCGAAGAAAAGAATTAGACTGTGCATATGTATATGTGACCAATAAAGACTCATTATCATTAACGTGGTTCACGTGATCTCAAAGCAACCAACTACGAATTGGCCCAAATGTCTTAAATATGGAAAGTATCTTGAAATGCTGCAAGTCATAATATTCAACGTATGAATGAATAAGATATTAATACTTAACTCTTACCATTAATAATCACAATTAATATAGTAGTGTATACTGCATGCCGGTACACAAAGGATCAGTGCGTGTATTAATTCATTACCAAGAAAACAATAGGTAAGCATTAATCTGTGGCTTTATTGCGGATCTCAGAGTAAAGTGTTATTATTCTAGTTTCTGGTTGTTGATGTTTAATAGATTATTACTTCTATAGAATAGTCCATTCAATTCATTTGGATGGACCAGTTCATAACTTTAGATATTTAATAGACGATCTGTAAATTCATGCGATCCAAGCCATCTAATTCAAACCCAATTTTGTTCAAGTGGACGCTTCCGCTGTTTTGTTTTTTTTTTTCCATGTTGAAGAAAAAATGTTTTTCTTATTGTTAAGAATTCAAATGACAGGCTATAGATTATTTGTGGACTGAGTTAAAAAGGCCATCAGATACAGTATTTTATGATTTATATGTTCCTAAAGCTCCAGTGTGTATCCACTTTTATTGTCTTGTAACACTTCTAAGCACGCTTAGTGTATTACAAAAATCGCTGAATTGTATTAACGTCTTTTTTTTTGTTTGTTTTTTTTCAGCACGAAACGAACAAAATCAAACTAAATGTCAAAAGTCAGTTTGGGCAACAAAAGCCCTCTGCTGTGTAACATATAAATGTGTCTGTCTCCAGCAAGCGCCTCTTATTTCCTTCTCTTCAAGACAACAGCAGTGGCAAATACTTCACATGCACAGGCGCTTTGATGGCTGATAGGTGCAGAGCGTGTTGCTGATGCTCTTTCTTCGGCGGGACGTCCTGCCGTCTTCTTTCATGTGTCGCGTCAGGGTTGGAATCAAACGGGGCTCGCCGCTCGAGCGTCTGTGCAGCGAGAAAACAGCAGTGCCCATGTTTTTGTCACCAACCTGCAGGATGTGCCTCTCATGTGCCATCTGGATGGATGTAGCCCAGTCAAGAGGCAGGAGGAGCACAAGGAGCATCTGTGTGTCTGTGTCTGTGCGTGTCTCTAAATACCTGCTGTCACTCCACATTCACACAGAACCGCGCAAACATGAGCTGAGGAGGTAAACGTGGATCAACACAGGGGTTTGATTTAATGTATTTAAACACCAAACAAATTACATTGTCGGCTTTCCATCGATGGTGATAGAAATAATGATAATAATAATAATAATAATAATAATAATACAAATAAAAATAACAATAAATAATTTAGTACACTGTAAAACATGATAGCCCCATTACATCATGTGAACTTATTTCTTCTCTTTAATGCCAATTGTCATGACAAGTTTTGGATGTGAATTTTGAAGAGGGTATACATTAAAAAAATATATATATTTAAAGTAAATTTGTTGTAAAACATAACTTTTTGAGTTGAAATAAAAGGTATCATCATGTTGCTTTTCTCATTTATCACCTGAAATGTTTTACAGTGTAACATTGGCTCACTCCCTCACTCTCTCTCTCACTGACACAGTGACACTCACTCCCTCACTCTCTCTCTCACTGACACAGTGACACTCACTCCCTCACTCTCTCTCACTGACACAGTGACACTCACTCCCTCACTCTCTCTTACTGACACAGTGACACTCACTCCCTCACTCTCTCTCTCACTGACACAGTAACACTCACTCCCTCACTCTCTCTCTCACTGACACAGTAACATTCACTCCCTCACTCTCTCTTTACTCCACACAGTAACATCTCACCCCTCACTCTCTTTCTCACTGACACAGTAACATTCACTCCCTCACTCTCTTTCTCACTGACACAGTAACACTCACTCCCTCACTCTCTTTCTCACTGACACAGTAACATTCACCCCTCACTCTCTTTCTCACTCTACACAGTGACACTCACTCCCTCACTCTCTCTTACTGACACAGTGACACTCACTCCCTCACACTCTCTCTCACTGACACAGTAACACTCCACCCTCTCTCTCTTACTGACACAGTGACACTCACTCCCTCACTCTCTCTCTCACTAACACAGTAACACTCAGTCCCTCACTCTCTTTCTCACTGACACAGTAACACTCACCCCTCACTCTCTTTCTCACTGACACAGTGACACTCACTCCCTCACTCTCTCTCTCACTGACACAGTAACACTCACTCCCTCACTCTCTTTCTCACTGACACAGTAACATTCACTCCCTCACTCTCTTTCTCACTGACACAGTAACACTCCACTCCCCTCACTCTCTTTCTCACTGACACAGTAACACCTCACCCCCACTCTCTTTCTCACTGACACAGTAACACTCACCCCTCACTCTCTTTCTCACTGACACAGTAACACTCACTCCCTCACTCTCTTTCTCACTGACACAGTAACACTCTTTCCCTCACTCTCTTTCTCACTGACACAGTAACACTCACTCCCTCACTCTCTCTCACTGACACAGTAACACTCACTCCCTCACTCTCTCTTACTGACACAGTAACACTCACTCCCTCACTCACACAGTAACACTCACTCCCTCACTCTCTCTCACTGACACAGTGACACTCACTCCCTCACTCTCTTTCTCACTGACACAGTAACACCTATCCTCACTCTCTCTCTCTCACTGACACAGTGACACCTCACTCACTCACTCTCTTCTCACTGACACAGTAACACTCACTCCCTCACTCTCTCTCTCACTGACACAGTGACACCACCACTCACTCTCTTTCTCACTGACACAGTAACACTCACTCCCTCACTCTCTCTTACTGACACAGTGACACTCACTCCCTCACTCTCTCTCTCACTGACACAGTAACACTCACTCCCTCTCTCTCTTACTGACACAGTGACACTCACTCCCTCACTCTCTCTCACCACTAACACAGTAACACTCACTCCCTCACTCTCTTTCTCACTGACACAGTAACACTCACTCCCCTCACTTTCTTTCTCACTGACACAGTGACACTCACTCCCCTCACTCTCTCTCACTGACACAGTAACACTCACTCCCTCACTCTCTTTCTCACTGACACAGTAACACTCACTCCCTCACTCTCTTTCTCACTGACACAGTAACACTCACTCCCTCACTCTCTTTCTCACTGACACAGTAACACTCACTCCCTCACTCTCTTTCTCACTGACACAGTAACACTCACTCCCTCACTCTCTTTCTCACTGACACAGTAACACTCACTCCCTCACTCTCTCTTACTCACACACTAACACTCACTCCCCTCACTCTCTTTCTCACTGACAAGTAACTACTCACTCCCTCACTCTCTCTCACTGACACAGTAACACTCACTCCCTCACTCTCTCTCTCACTGACACAGTGACACTCACTCCCTCACTCTCTCTCACTGACACAGTAACACTCACTCCCTCACTCTCTTTCTCACTGACACAGTAACACTACTCCCCTCACTCTCTCTCACTGACACAGTAACACCCTACCTCACTCTCTCTCGCTGACACAGTAACACTCACTCCCTCACTCTCTCTCTCACTGACACAGTGACACTCACTCCCTCACTCTCTCTCTCACTGACACAGTAACACTCACTCCCTCACTCTCTCTTACTGACACAGTAACACTCACTCCCTCACTCTCTCTTACTGACACAGTAACACTCACTCCCTCACTCTCTCTCACTGACACAGTAACACTCACTCCCTCACTCACACAGTAACACTCACTCCCTCACTCTCTCTCACTGACACAGTGACACTCACTCCCTCACTCTCTTTCTCACTGACACAGTAACACTCACTCCCTCACTCTCTCTCTCACTGACACAGTGACACTCACTCCCTCACTCTCTCTCTCACTGACACAGTAACACTCACTCCCTCCCTCACTCTTTCTGACTCACTCAGTGACACTCACTCCCTCACTCTCTTTCTCACTGACACAGTAACATTCACTCCCTCACTCTCTTTCTCACTGACACAGTAACACTCACTCCCTCACTCTCTTTCTCACTGACACAGTAACATTCACTCCCTCACTCTCTTTCTCACTGACACAGTGACACTCACTCCCTCACTCTCTCTTACTGACACAGTGACACTCACTCCCTCACTCTCTCTCTCACTGACACAGTAACACTCACTCCCTCTCTCTCTTACTGACACAGTGACACTCACTCCCTCACTCTCTCTCTCACTAACACAGTAACACTCACTCCCTCACTCTCTTTCTCACTGACACAGTAACACTCACTCCCTCACTCTCTTTCTCACTGACACAGTGACACTCACTCCCTCACTCTCTCTCTCACTGACACAGTAACACTCACTCCCTCACTCTCTTTCTCACTGACACAGTAACATTCACTCCCTCACTCTCTTTCTCACTGACACAGTAACACTCACTCCCTCACTCTCTTTCTCACTGACACAGTAACACTCACTCCCTCACTCTCTCTTTCTCACTGACACAGTAACACTCACTCCCTCACTCTCTTTCTCACTGACACAGTAACACTCACTCCCTCACTCTCTTTCTCACTGACACAGTAACAATCACTCCCTCACTCTCTCTTACTGACACAGTAACACTCACTCCCTCACTCTCTTTCTCACTGACACAGTAACACTCACTCCCTCACTCTCTCACTGACACAGTAACACTCACTCCCTCACTCTCTCTCTCACTGACACAGTGACACTCACTCCCTCACTCTCTCTCACTGACACAGTAACACTCACTCCCTCACTCTCTTTCTCACTGACACAGT